GTTTTGGGGTTTAGGGTTTGGTTTAGGGCTTGGCAACTTTGGGTTAGGATGTCACTTGTATCACCCAGCCAGAAATCATTCAATACCGTTTGCTTAAGCCCTGACCGCAACACTTCCCAAGCCTGTTGCATGGCTGAGCCCAACCCAGCTTAAAACCATGAACCCTGAACCCTAAACCCCTAAACCCTTATAAACCTAAACCCCAAGACCACAAACAATGACAACCCTAAGCCCTAAACCCCAACAGCCCATGATGCGACAGCGAAGCGTCAGCGCAAACCCTGTTTGAAAAGGGCTCCAAGGGTGAGATGAAGGCAGCAAGGCGGGTGGGTATAGGGTTTTGGAGTACGATACTTTAATACTTTTTTTGACCTGTTCCTTAAAGGAACCATTATGACATAAAAGTCTATACTTTTTCTCCCTGGCTACTTCAAAGCCCAGTATACGGTTTAGGGTTTAGGGGGAAGTCCCAAGTTAAGGTTCTTGATATGAGGGATCCTCAATCCACCCAACCTTCATGCCACCTTCTGAGGCCTCCACTTCGCAAGCTCTTGGAACAAGCCGCTAAGAGCCTTCATTTTTGCACGCTGGGCCCTCTTATGCCCTTAAAATCCTTTAAACCTACGAAACCAAAGTTCCACATCACCCAGAAACCCTCCCCTCCCCTCCCCTCGCCTCCCACAACAACACCAACCCTAAACCCTATCCCCTCCCCTCCCCTCCCCTCGCCTCCCACAACAACACCAACCCTAAACCCTATATACAAAAAACGCCGAAGGCCTCTTCCTATCGCTTCCGCTGCGCCGGCAAGGGAGTCCTTGCAGGAGTCGCCCGATGAAGGCTTGCGTCGGCGCACGCCACTTCGAGGGTTTAGGGCTTAGGGTTTAGGGTTTAGGGCTTTGGGCTTAGGGCTTAGGGTTTAGGGTTTAGGGTTTAGGGCTTAGGGCTTAGGGCTGAGGGTTCAGGGTTTAGGGCTTAGGGTTTGGGTTTAGGGCTTTGGGCTTAGGGCTTAGGGTTTAGGGTTCAGGGTTTAGGGTTTAGAGCTTAGGGTTTAGGGCTTATGGTTTGGGGTGTAGGGCTTAGGGTTGCTATAATCAGGCTCAGAGTTCAGGGGCTACAAGCAACAGTAAGGTGGAAGGCTTAGGGGCTGCAGGAAGGTTTAGGGTTTAGGGGCTACAAGTACCAGTAAGGTTTTTAGGGTTTTGGGGATACCGTAAGGTTTAGGGTTTGCGGGGGTGGGTTCAGGAATTAGGGATTTAGTCTTCTTTGCATCGGGGAGGTTAAGCGCATAGAGTGGGGTTTAGGGTTCGGGGCTTCTGGGCTTGTGGTACCTCCACCTAAGGGTCCAAGTACCCGAAAAGTAGGGTTTCAAGGTCCAAAAACCATTCAGGGTATGGATTTTGGGACCTAGAACCTTACTATTAGAGTACTCGGACCCTCTGGGGGTCCATCCCTAAACCCTAAACCCTAAACCCTAAACCCTAAACCCTAATCTGGCTCGGTGTCGGCTTAGGGTTTCGGGCTTAGGGATCCTGTGCTCGCGAGATTCCTGGGTTGGGTTAGGGTTTAGGGCCAGGAGGCTCGGGTTTAGGGTTTTGGGTTTTGGGGTTTTAGGGTCAGGAGGTTCGGGTTTAGGGTTCAGGGTTTAGGGTCAGGAGGTTAAGGGTTAGGGTTCAGGGCAAGGAGGCTCGGGTTTTGGGTCTATAGGGTTTAAAATCAAGAGGTTGGGGTTTAGGGTTCAGGGTTTTGGGTCTATAGGGTTTAAAATCAAGAGGTTAGGGTTTAGGGTTTAGGGTTCAGGGTTTAGGGTTTAAAATCAAGAGGTTAGGGTTTAGGGCTTTGGGTTTAGGGTTTAAAATCAAGAGGTTTGGGTTTTAGGGTTCAGGGTTTTGGGTTTAGGGTTTAAAATCAGCAGGTCAGGGTTTAGGGTTTTGGGTTTAGGGCTTATCTAGCTCGGCCAGTGAAGCCCTCGGAGTGTCCCCAATCTTCCGGCACAATATCCACTGCATCAGGGAGACAGCTGCCGGCAGATTGCTTGGGTGCCGTCAGCTCCTTCGTTTTGTTGTGCCAGTGCCTCGACATCTTGCAGCGGACGGTGGGTGCATGGCAAGGGTGGAGGCAACAGACCTCGCAAGGGCCGCGAAGACACTGCATCCTTTTGTATCTTGTGCCGTCGATGAGTGGAAGGTAGTATGTGGAACACACCACGGCATGCTGATCTCCTGCCTCACCCACGAGAGGCGACACAAGGAGTTGAAGCGACATGCGAACAATCGGCAGAATCTGAGAAGGGGCTCCTGCGGGAGGTTTCCGTTGAATTTCACCGCCGAGCTCCCGGCACCCAAGGCCGCACCAGAGCCACTGATGCGAGCATTCGCCAGCCACTTTGGCGTTTTGGTTTGGGGGTTCGGGCTTGGGAGTCTAGGAATGGAATATGCGTAGTTCTCTAAATTGGGGTCCCTTTTAGGGTCCTTTTTATACTGGTGCCGCACTATATTGGGTACCTAAAAGGGACTCTAATTTAGAGAACTACCCATATAGGGGCCTCACTAATTACCAATACTATCTTGGGGCCTCCTGATTATGAGTATAGTTTAATATACCCCAAAACGCTGTTCTACTTATAAAGGCCCTCATATTTAGGTGATGTTGCAGTAGGGCGTCGGCCGAAGCTCAACATCCCAAATCTCTGAAGCCACAAATCCCAAGCAAAAACCTAAGGACCTACAGCAGACATCGCCCAAACTCGCGAAGCTCGAAGCCAGAGCTCGGTGACTCCATGTCTTTAATGAATGCCAGAAGTCAGACATATATTCAGAATACTGATGTATCTATGTTGGAGTCTTTGGGGACCTGTCGACAATCCTTGCAACAAGAAGAGGCTTAGAACGTTTGAGGAACCCCTGTTTTCCCTAAAGGTCCAAGTGCCAACTGTGTTTGAATCTTCATCGGTTCTCGCAAATACCAACTAAACCCTAAACCCTAAACCCTAAACCCTAAACCCTTTCCTACATCCGGGTACCCAATTGCTGGATCTCTAGGACCACCAAAAGCCCCTAATGTGGCGGCGCAAATAATAACTTGGGATCGAATAATGCGTTTTTTCCTTATTCAAGCCGAGACTCATAAAACGACCGGCTCGAATAATGTTTTTTTTTTTTTCGGTGTTTTTTTTTGTGGGGGGTTGCTCCTTTGTGCTAATGGTCAATCTTACGGCAGCCACGACTACTACTGTACTACTACTGTACTACTGTACAGTACCAGGCCTCAGACTGGTGGATTGTGGAGGGGAGTGTAGGCTGGAAGGAAAAGTCTTAAAA